GATTCAGTAATAATCTCATAAATTGTATTGGCGCTCACTTCTTATGTGTAGAATCAATGCATATTAATTTCGATTCGATCTCGATAGCTCACTCATCAAACAACGAAAGTCATAGTCTTTCTACGGTCGATATATTCTTGATCCCAATATCCTTATATATTTTATCCTAAAGATTTTGAAATGAATATTTATTTTGTTGATGATCCTTGTATGACTAGCTGTTTATCTGTTATTACGGTTTTATTACCTTCAAATTGAATGTAATTTCGGTTCAATTTCTAGAAATTTATTTTTGTTCTGTCTTCAAACAACACTACATGTATAACTGTGATGTAGTCGTCCTAATGATTTGTATCAACTCTGGTGGTACAATGGATGACAAGACAAGAACAGCACTATTTAGGTTTCTCTACTTCCATGATTGCTCTCGCTTTGATTTTGGTCCATTAAATAGTGAATGCACTAATCATGAAATAGATACCCGTGAGCCATCTTCAAGGTAGTTTGTTCATTGCACAACAAATTCATATAAAAAATGAATTATTCTACGGTATACGCAGGATTACACTTAAAAACCATAGACTGTTATATATATATAATCTGGTCTGAGATTTGCCTTCTGCTTCGAATCTCCTAGGAATTAATTTTCTGTTTTTCATATTTATATCACAGATGTAAATAGAACTAGTGCCGGTTAGATTAGATCGGATTGAGCGGAATTGGACGATTAACTAATAATAATCTAATCTCTAGATAGTTCCAGATAATACAGTCAGCTGCATATAAAAAGCTCCTATCGTATACTTGGCGAGAATCATGAAATATTTAGTAGATAATCGAATATGTTTTTATAAAAAAAAGAAAAGTTAACTAGAAAGATCAGTCATCGATCTAACGGCTACCAGTGAGTCAAAAACTCCTACTGCTATTGAACTACATCACCCGACGACCATTATCAACGGTTCTGTCTCAGTTGAGAGCGATGATACAGACAATAATGCCAAAATCAGCAATGAAGAGTAAATCTTTTCAACGTTAGAGGATTTGTTTTCTTCATTGCTGTATAGAATAAGACTAACGAATACTATACGTCATGCTCAACGAGACGCTGTAATTCAATCATCTTTTATGAATCAAAGTCTCCTGAAAATTACATCTCAATTATTTAAGAGACAGGAATATTTATCACGTGAGAACTGAACTGACTCAAAAAGCTATATCAGTCTATTCCAAAGATACTCACTCTTGATTAAGCAATATACCTTATCCTAAACTAATCAAAAGTCACGAGCTGCATTTCACTGTTATGAGAAGATGATTATATCTATGTTTGTCCACATATGTTGTATGTGAAGTGCTCTGAACTATATTTTAAAAGAAAGAATTTTACCTTTTCTTTTTTTTCTCCCATAATTCTAAACCATTTTTGATCACCAGATTGATGTTATGAGCGGTGCAAGAGAACCGTTCACCTGGCTTGATTTCATTAATTGCCTTCTTAATATCACTACCATTATCACCAACTATACCACAAACTTTGTCTTGAATATTTAAACGTTTTAATTCATAAAGAATGTACTTTTTAATATTTTCTGATTCGTGAGAACCAGTAAATCGACGAAATCCTAATACCACCGGAATCGATTCAAATTTTTTATTGAATACATGACCAGTTAAGCAAATAAAAGATTTCTTCTTTTTGGTCCAAATATCGACCGTGATTGCAATAGCAGGAATTGAAGCAAGTACTTCTCCAAGTTGCTGACGATATTCGTGATACAAAGTACCTAGACGACGACGTACAGTTTTTCGACCAGGACCACGACTAAAATAATACCAATTAATATTATATCTTATCTAATTTCATGTTTCTAACACAAAGTATAAAATACATCTTATTTTCATAATCTTATCAGTACAAGTCACGATTTCGAAACATGATTGATGGAGTAAAATACTATTTAAAATTTGTTAGCAATTTGTTTGAAGTTTCGACAATACCTACATTGTTGAAAATGATATAAAGACTGTGCCTTATCACAGAACATAGCATTATACTATGTAGAGCAACAGTAAAAGCTTATTATATCGTTGACAGAGACCGATTTATAGACTAATATTGGCGATAGAATTAAAATGTCTTGACGGAATGTTGTGCAAATTATACTATAGCAGTATTCTAAGTTAAGTTACATATTCTACATCTCAACGTGCTTCATTCTGCAAAAAGCATTTTCGTCGGACAAAGTACTTATGTTAACCTAATATAATCAGGACATCATTTTTGCTTACCAACGGTATTGCTTTGTCTAGCTGACAATCAGATTATTTTAATAAACACTGCAATATCTAACAGTTATCATGGAAGCAAGCTGTATAGAACTAAATAATGTATTAATCATTGAGAAACTGTAGTTGATCAACTTATTTCATGTTAGTGGATTTTATTTCTATTTATATCATTATCAGAGACTGAATAGTGTTGGATGAGTGCGTACTCTAATCTATGTCCTATTGAATATTATCTGCTACTATGCCTTGGTCTATATGAACGGTCCGTAAACGACGATAAACCGATGAAAAACGGCATGTTTACGGTGACTGGACATTTTCACGTACGAGTATCGGTTAATTACATATATACGGATACATTACGGACCGTTTGTTGTACACCGTTCACGACACCGTAACGAAACACCGTTTACGTGGCGTTTTTAGCCGTTTTTAATATGTATCTTATAATAAAATCCTAAAGTAAATCTTACAAGACTCTTACTACAAGATTTTTATAAAATTTGATGATCAGAATCTTGCAAAGTCATATCTGATCATATACAACTAAAGTTTTTTTTCGTCAAACCAATATTTTGTATCATATTACTTTTTTGCATTAAAAAGTGTCTAAACTATTCAAAGCATTTTGATTTCAACCATACAGCTTTCCTATATGAGATAAAGAACGTATATACCTGCAACACTAATACTCCTATTCACTGAACTGATTCACTAGCCTCAACAATATAGTCACCTTGACTGCAATAGTAATATGAATAACAGATTTTTTGCTTGTATCGAAATGAACATGGTAAATAATAATTATCACTTACGTAAAAACTTTTTCTTCGTCAACATAACTCAGTAAAGATAAACAGGCATATAAACGTGAACTTAGTGTATAATCCTACTTTTTATATAGATAATTCCACATCATTGTCGATTGCAGTAAACAATTTATATATATAATTTTTATTATCTTAATAATCAGATACTTCAAAATTATCGTCAACAAGGTAAATATCAATTTTGCATATTAAATTCTTATTTTTTTATTTAGATATTACAACGATATCGTCGAAAACGTATAAATTATATATACATAAGCTTTATATACTTTTTTTTATTTAGATAATTCAATATAATCGTCGAATACGTAAGTATGAATTTTATATATTTAACACTTAAATTTTTATTTTTGTATTTAGATATTTGAATTACATCGTTGAATAGGCAAGTATGCATTTTATATATAAAATTCTTCTTTTTTTTATTTAGATATTTCAGCAATATCATCAAATAGGCAAGTGTAAATTTTACAGATTAAATTTTTATTTTTTTGTATTTAGATATTTGAATTATATCGTCGAATAGGTAAGTATTAGTTTTGTATATAAAATTTTTCTTTTTCTTTTCTAGATATTTTGGCAATATCATCGAAAAAGTAAGCATAAATTTTATATATTAAATTTTCATTTTTTTTATTTAGATAATTCAATAAAACCGTCGAATAGGCAAGTGTGAATTTTATATAAAAAATTCTTTTTTTTCCTGTTTAGATATTACAACGATATCATCGAAAAGGTATGAATTTTATATATAAAGTTTCTATTTTTTTTATTTAGATATATCAATCAAATTTTCGAATAGGTAAGTATGATTCTTATATATAAAATTCTTATTTTTTTATTTAGGTATTTCAATAATACCGTGGTGTAGGTAAGTGTGAATATTATAAATTAGATTTTTATCTTTTAATTTAGATATTTTAATAATATCATCGAGTAGGCAACTAGAACTTTGTATACAAAGTTTATCTTTTCTTTTTAGATATTTCAATTTTATTGTCGAATAGGCAACTATAAATTTAATATGTAAATTTTTTATTTTTATTTTTATTTAGATATTTTAATAAATCTTCTCATGCTACTATTCTTCATTTGATAGTAGATACTATATTAGAATCTAACTGTATAACATAATGCATCACATGTGCTATTTTGCTTAAGACATTTCAATTTGTTTTCATGTGATATCGATGAATGTTGTAGACTACGTTTCTAAACTAGAATATGAGATAATTGTAGTCTGATAAATATGCAATTTTTTCACGCAATGTCTAGTGAAGATACTTTTCATAAGAATAAATGAAGCAATAACAATTTGTTGAAGTCATGATTACCATTCCTTTTTTAGCTATGAGATTGGTGAAGATGTGTCAATAAATCAAGTAAGTTTTGCGTAGCAGAACGAATGAGAAAGTTCTTTTTTCAGATGCAGAGAACAGGGTTGTTGACGAATGTCGAACACAAAACTTTGTGAACAACTGAGCTCATCTTTGAATAGTTCTTATCCATTTATCAAATAGATATCTACATATCGATACTTTCATTTAGTCATAACGATTTTATTTCATTCATATACAACGCAGCATATTGAGTCATGACAAAGTTTACCGAAAAACTACACTAAGGATGATAAATAAAACACTTGCTCAATAACATCTTAAATTAAATATAAACTTCGTTAACGACTCAAACTAGATTCTTTGCTAACGTACGCCAGGCTATCCAAAGAAACAGCTGAAAATAAAATAATTAATACAATTTTTTCGTAACTTATTTGAACCAGCTAATACGTTATTAATCGTTGACACGTTTTGTGTCACTTACAAACCAGACTATGACATACAATAGAAATATATATTTGAAAATAATCATCGTTTAGTGTTTTATAAGTTTGTGTGGTAGAATGTATAGCAAATCACTTATATAAAATATTCACGTACGTCAAATAATCAAATGAAAAGAAACAGAACATTTATGCTCAATAAGAGATCAATACAAATAAATATTCAATATAAACTAAACCGCTTACTATCCAGGACAAATAACATTAAGAAATTTTGACATTCCCAACCGACGGAAATCGCCGAACGGACGACCATCAGTAATAATACAATCAATTGCAGCTTCGTGGAGTTCTTGTTTCTTTTCTGGTTTGATTTGCTTTGGATTTGTTACAGATTGTTTATGTTGCGATTCAAACAACATCTCTGGCATATTATGAACTCGACCTAGATGGCTGCGTAGGTTGCCATCGCTGTTGCTTGAAGTTTTGATTAACTGAAAAAGATTAATTAAAATGTGATCAAAATGAAGTAATGAATTTATGAAAATCTCTTTACGACATTTTATTTTAGATAAATCCCGTAAACTTTATCTATCTGGTAGAACTTTCCGAGATGAAGACTAGTTAATCAGGCTATTCATCGATTGTATTGTAATTAACTGCTCTGACACATTATCGTAAAACATTCAATAGGATCGCTAATTAACCGAGATGCTAAAGTTGATGTCGAAAAAGAAGCTAGTCTGCATTAGTCATGAGTAATATCGGTACTTGTCTAATATGTTAGAATAATAGATAGAAAAATTGCACATCTAGTAGATCTAATCACTCGAGTACGATCCTTATTTCGTCTCTGATATATACTTTAAAAACTATTAACAGCTTTCTTACAATTACATAATGAAATTTTATATTTCGAATTATAGGATATGTTTGTTACTTTCTTTAATGATAACGGAAGTAATATGTAGCGCATTGTTCTTTCTTCCCTTCTTAAGAAAGAACAATGATCATTTCTCTTCGAAATTTTCAAAGTTGAATTTTCATTATGATAGAGTTGAAAAATCGACCTTTTTCAGCCAGTCGGATCGAGCTGAAATTTTAGGATATGAATTATGACTAACATTTTCACAAGATGTGTAAGTATTAGTCATAATTCATATCCTGAAATTTCAGCTCGATTCGTCTGGCGCAAAAAAGTCGATTTTTCAACTTCTCTTGTAATGTTATTCGGAATGTTATAGATTATAGTCTTTTGAACTCTAGAGATCGTAACTCTCTAACAACGAATAGAAAAACGAAATCATTAGTAAATTACTAATATTCGAGGTTGTAATTACTTTTGTATGAATGGACAGCTGATGTCGTCTGTGTTAATTCTAATTCAACTAATGACAAGATATAAATATTGCACTATCCGCAGTACAACACATCATCTTAATGAATTGGTTCACGCCTTAGAAAAATGTTGTTCAGTTCATCAAAAACGCTCAATTAGTTATGAAAACAATTCATCTTTATTCTATAATGATCTGGTTTTTGCGTTATACTTTTTCACTTTTTTAAGTCCTCAAAATCGTGAAATAACTGTGGATTCGTATCGGTCAAAGTATGAAGGTTCAGTTAAAACTTTTTTCATAACGGAAACGAATACTTCTTCAAATCAACGACACCCTCTCGTATTGGTTGAACGATAAACAGGAAAGGAAAATTTTCCTTTTCTGTTTATCGTTCAACCAATATGAGAGGGTGTCGTTGATCTGAAGAAGTACCCGGAAACGTTAACGTGATATAATCTTCCAATATTCAAAGAGAACTATGACACAATGTAAAAATAGGCTGAAATGGAATCAACTTTACATTTTGATTTGAAATTCAGTTCGTACTTTTTTCAAAATTATCCAATCATATTCACGCCACTCTACTAACGTCTATATTAATTTTTTTTCATTCCTATGGTCCGTAAAATGGTTGAAGATTTTCTAAAATGAAATCCAATTTTTACTTTTACAAGTCTTGAAATATTTTCATCATATACAGAATGATCACAGATAGTTATCGAAATCAGTAACTCAGTTAGATTTAGCATTTTTATCTGTTGGTCATTTCTAAAGAATTTACTTTGATCACGACATCCTCTAAGTAATCAAAACTTTGATTACGTTTACGATGTGATGATGGCTTTTCTTCCATCAACTCTTCGATCAGTCTGTTTTATTTGTATTTTAGACTGCTTTTATCCATTGTCTGTTTGCGAATCCTTGAAGGAAATAACTAAAATGACGCGTTAAAATTTCATAAGTATTATTTTTTATATTTACATTGTGTATTTTTCCAAATTTTATAGGAAAAATGCTGAAAAGTATCTTAAATTAGCTCAATAAATTACGAATGCTAGTAGCATTGCAGAAATTTATAGTAAAATATATTCACTATGAAGTTTTCATGTTGTATCTATGTGTACAAAAGAAAAATGATGAATTTGTGTCATGTTTTCAAAAATCTTCTTTTCGTACTGGAATGTGTATCTACAGTGCAAAAGAAGAACGTGTGATCTATGAAAATTATGAATAAAAAATAAGACGTGCAATATTTTAAAAGATTAAATTTAATCTGTATATGCACAGCATCATTTTTTGCTCATATTTTCATTACTGATCATTATGATGCTGAAATACATAGATGGATTAGGGGTGAACCGTAAAAATATACTTTGTTTGCAGAATCCTATTTCATTCGTCTGTGAATTTAAAAAAATGTATCATTGTCCACAGCTGCTTTGAATCATTTATAACAAATCAAATAAAAAGCATGAAAATAAAAATTAGAACGATAGAAACTAAATACTGAAGCTAAAAATTCGGTTTTTTGCAATATTGCTTCTGGCAACACTATTTCGTCTTGATTGATAAGTTGTATCTCGTCAGATTGAAATTTACTAGTCTAATTACATTTAAGCATTTTCTTCAATAAATCCATACGTAAGTTGATTTTCTATTCGTCTCATTTGAATGTCATTTGAAAAGCTACCAAAGCGGAGAGAGTGTGAAGGGTGGTATATTTTTCAATAATAAAAATTTTTTATTGATTTTTGCAGCTAGAATAACTTTGTTTCTTTGATCTATTTTGCAGGAAATTTTGTTGTATATAACTGTTTAAATAATCCGAAGTTTATCACGTCCCTTTGATTTCAATTCATTCGTACTGCCATTGTCCATATATCATGTTTGGACCTTACTAATTGGTTATTATATAGTCATAAATCAGTTAATAATTCATCCCCTTCGTATATAAATACTTGGGTCAAAAAAAGTAAACTTGCAATACGAAGTTTATCATTTTTCATTTCTTATTGGATTTCAGCTTATAATTGTGTAATTGTGTTTCTCGAGCGTTATCGACTGAGCGAGCGTGATGAAGAGCATTCAACTCTTTAGTCCAAAATAACGGCAAGAAAAGTTTAGACTTAGAATTTCGCGTAAAGTAAAAACTCTAAATTCTAAATTCTGAGCTCATTATTTTTCGCCAAATACTAGATATCTGATTGCCAGATCGATTACACCATTTGAGCTATGATGAACTTGGTTCGTGTTGACTAATCTTGCATTGCCAAAGTGAAGTTCATATGCCCTCGTAGGCCATCACGCGTGGTGTGCGTTCTTTAAATAAACAATCATTTTCTAATGGTATGACGTGATATGGTTGTATGACCGCGGTCTTAAAGATAG